TGGTGTTGGGGCTGTTGTTGAGAGAGAGTGCTGGGAACGTGTGAGTGCACGGATAAGGAAGTGTGGGAAGAGTGTGTTGGGAGTGTGTTAGGAGAGTACATGATGCACTATGTTAGTGGTGAACTTGGTAGTACTACCGTCTTGGTTGTAGTAGTATAGCTGGATGAATGGGGGAGTCGAAATATTTGATCCGAGAGGGTAGTAGTTGTCTAGTAGGTGTATAGATGAGCATGTCGAGAGGTTGGGGTAAGGTTGGATAGGGAGACAGGGTGACTGGAGGATTAACTAAGGGTAGGCGAACTAGTTAGGTGATGGTTCAAAAGTACAATAAATGGGGAAGGATGAGAGAAAAATGGTTGGGTAGGCGTAGGTGGGATACCAGGTTAGCTGTCTATATGTATTTTCATACTCTGTTTGAACTCTGAATTTATTTCACTGGGTTATGTGCTCACTATATGTCCTTGCAGATGCAGTAGAACATGAAGTGGAGCTGAAAACTCAGACAGTGGGACAATACTTAGAGGAATCAAATTAATAGTATAATAGTCATAAGTTGATCTACACTGGATGTTCATTCATTTGAATTCCCTGTGGTAGTTAGGAATTCTTTCTTTTTGTTCTTTTTATTATTTGGGATAATAAGTTGTAAATCGAAACACTAAAATTGTTTGAGGTAGACTCAATGAGTTGCATGTATATTGAACCTTTGGTCTTGGATGTATTCGTGAATAGAAATGAATGAAACACAGGTGGAATGATATTCATAAAACACCCAGGGGTGTTACATGTGCCAAAGGAGATGGATAGATTTATTTAAGGATTATGATTATAAGATCCTATACCATCTGAAAAAAGGCAATATGGTTGCAGATGCACTTAGTAAGAAGAATACTTGCACTCAATCTACATGATGGCCTTATAGTGGAGACTCATAGAGGAGTTCCAGAAGTTGAATTTGAATGTTCAACATAAGAGATTAGGAGGATACCTAACCAATATAAAAGTATAACCTATTTTGATGCAAAAAATTAGAGAAGCCCAGTAGTTTGATCTTACATTGAAGTTGATTATGAAAGATGTCAGCAAGGGACTTAAGACAAGAATTCAGACTATCAGAAGATGGTATATTAAGGTTTGGAAACACATGTGTGCCAAATAATAACTGTATGAAAAATCAGATATTAGAAGAAGTGCACTACTCTTGATTTGCTATGCACCCTGATAATACTAAGATATATCAGAACTTGATTATCAAATACCGATGTAGTGGGATGAGAAAGGACATAACAGAGTTCGTTTCTAAATATTTTACATGCCAACAAGTGAAGGTTGAACGTCAGAAACTAGCAGGACTATTTTAGTCCTTGCCAGTAGTAGAGTGAAAATAGGAACATATTACTATGGATTTCATGATGGGTCTACCTAAAACAAAATCACAGCATGATGTCATTTGTGTTATCGTTGATAGATTAATTAAGTATTTTAATTTCTTGGCTATTAGAGTAAATGATTCACTAGACAAATTAGCTAGACTCTATATTAAGGAGATTGTGAAATTGCATGGAATTCCAGTCACAATCATCTCTGGACGAGATTCCACTTTACTTTAAGATTTTGGATAAGTTTAAAGAATGATATGAGGACCAAGCTATCCTTTAGTACGACTTTCCATCTTCAGACGGATGGTCAATCAGAACAGATAATCCAAACTCTAGAATATATGCTACGAGCCTGCATCATTGAGTTACGAGGTAATTGGGATGATCATTTACCTCCGATTGAGTTCACATATAACAATAGCTATCAGTCTAGCATTCAAATAGCACTCTATGAGGGTTTGTACGAAAAACCCTATAGATCACCTATTTGTTAGGAAAAAGTTGGGAAATGAAAAATGGTTGGACCTGAATTAGCAAAAGAAACTATAGAGAAAGTGAAATTGATCAGGAAACACCTTATAACAGCTCAAAGTAGGGAGAAAAGTTATGCCGATAATTAGAGAAAAGATTTAGAATTTGAAGTAGGTGACCATGTAATTTTAAAAATTTTACCAATTAAAGGATAATGAGATTTGGGAGGAAAGAAAAACTTAGTCCTAGATTTATAAGACCTTTTAAGATATTAGATAGAGTAAGAGTTGTCGCCTACCGTTTAGAATTGCCACCTAAGTTAGCCAATATACACAATGTCTTTCATGTCTTGATGCTGAAGAAATATCACATAAATCCATCGCATGTATTCCGATATGAACTCCATGCTCTTCGGGGCAACCTATCCTATATTGAGCTTCTTGTGGAGATAATGGATCATAAAGAAAAGATATTACGATTTAAGGTAATCTCTTAGTGGAAGTATTATGGCAGCATTACTTGACTGAAGAAGCCACATGGGAGCCAGAAGAGGAAATGAAGGCTAAATATCCACATTTATTTGTGATCACTGGTAAGTCCAATTTGGAGAATCAATTTTTTTTTTTTTAAGGTAAGGAGGATGTGATAGCTTAAAAATACCCCCGAGTTAATTTCTTATGTTTGATATATTTAATTTAACCTTTATATGTGTTTGAAAATATATAATAAAATTAAAGACAGAGTTTAGAATCAAACAGAAATAGGATAGATGATGAATGAACTATAATAAGTATGAAAAGACATAAAAAAATGTTAAAACTTTTTTAATGAAGTGGTATAATAAAAAGTGATATCTCTTAGAAAAAATGACATAATGAAAAGTGGTAACTTTTAAATGAAGTGACATGTGAAAAGAGGTAACTTGTAGATGAAGTGACATCATATAAAGTGGCAACTTTTAGATGAAATGGTATGACGAAATGATAGCAACCTTTCTCTCATGGCTCTCTACTACTATAAATAGGGGATGGAAAAAGGGAGGAAGAGACAATCCGAATGAGAGAAATATATTGAGAATTATAAAGGTGAAGGAATAAGAGGTAGTATAAAGTGTGTGATTTTTAAGAGTATTTTGAGGTTTTAGATAAAAATATTAGGAAAATTCTGCTAAATTTGTGAGAGCAGAAGAAGAGAAAGAGAAAAGAAAATTATAAACTATTAGAAAGATAAGTCTTTTCTTAAATTTTGAAGTTCGGTTCTTCTTTAATTTTTGGGATTAGTTTTTAGTATTGTAGTGAATATTTTTTATTCAAAAAAGTGATGAAAAATCATCTCGAAACTCCGCCAAATTTTTGAGAGAAAAATGTCATTAATAAAGTTGAAACTCTGCCAGAATTAAGATTATGATTGCTAAGGACCTAAGGTAAGTAGATATTATCGATTCATAGCCTACGTAGTTTTGAAGTATTTTACGTATTTTTAGTATAAAAATGTGCAAGTGTTTAATTTATCTTTTGTGTATGCTAAGTAAGTATTTGTTAAAGTTTTACTTCGATATAAATGTTATTTTGTTTTATATTTTTAAAATGTGATTTTGATATGTGTGCATCACTCATTATGGAAAGAAATTGTTTCGAAAACACCTGTATTATAATAGGCTTCAATGTGACCATACATAACCCTTCTGTATTCGAGTGTATTGACGAAGTGATAAGTGTTTACCCATACATAACCGTTCCATATTCGGATATGTGGGGAAAACAATCTGATCTACATGCCCTAATCGCTCCGTGTTTGGAGAGTAGTAGTGTTTTAATGTACTCATGTATGTCGTTCTGTGTTTTGGTACATGGAAAACCAGTGATAAATATATGTACCTTCCCATAATGTATAGCAACTGATTGATTCTCCATAATAGTGATGAAGTATACAACGAAGTAACTATGAATATGTTTTCTAATTTATGCATTTGTCTTCTGATTCGTATATATTTTTAACAAAATTATATGATATATGTTTTGTTGTATGTAAAAAAACTATATATTACATGTATTATTCTGTGATTTCATAATATCCCTTATTAGAATATTTTATCTTACCATTTATCACCATTCAAATATTGAAGTTACCCTGCAGAGTGAGTGGTGATACGAATGAAATTTTTGAAACAAGATTATGATATTAAGGTTACTGTTTTGTAATTTTATTTATTAATGTAAGTAAGAA